ATAAAAAAAAAAAAAAAAAAAAAAAATTAAAAAAAAAAAAAAAAAAAAAAAAAGAGTGACACACATAAGCTTACCGATTTAGTATAAAAAATAAAATTTAAATAGTGGTGCAACATAAATGAATAGAAGAACTTGCATTTGAACCAGTAAAATTATAGCCAAAGAATAAAAATTTAAACAGTATTTAAGTAAAAATTATTTTGTTAGATAATAAAAATTATTTAAATATAAATCATTAGACAATAAATGGCTCAAACAAATTAAATTCTTTTTTATCGGGAAAATGATATTTAAGCCTAGCAAAGATATTATGGATGATGACATGGTTTTTTTTTTTTTTTTTTTTTTTGATGATGACATTTTTTTTTTTTTTTTTTTTTTTTTTTTGTTATAAAACAAACTCATTTACTTTAACCTCAATAAAATAGTAAAATATTTTTCGTGAGTTACAAGTTTTTATATAAATCGATCATGTTGACGAGTTTTAATAATAATGAAAGAAAAATAGTGTTAGGAGAGGATAAAACTCGTCCTCCAAAAAATAAAAACAAAAGTTTTTATGTAGTTATTCATTATTATATTTCAAACAAATTTTTAGAATATAGAAGCATTGACGTTAATTTTGTGTAATTTTTATTACATACAAGAAAAAAAATTCACTAACTAAACGGCCCCCACTCTCGTAAAAAACAAATAAGGCATTTATATGTATTTAATGATTGAACTTGCGTCAGTGTGTATTTATTGATGGTATTGGTCATAAAATATCGAAGTTTTCTACAGTGATTGTACCAAAGAAAAAAATATCAGGAGCAGTTCTGCGCATTCATAATTATTTATTAACTGAAGCGCCCTCACCTCATGTCAAGGAGCACTTTATTTCCTTAAATCTTAGAAGTTTACTATTTTCATAAATGTGTGATAAAAAGAATTTAATTCATAATCTTGTCTGAAAATTTAAGTTTCAATTCCATATATTTTATTTTTCCTCCTATTCTGAAACTTTTTTCATTCAGCAATATATTGAATTTGTTAAAAGATTTATCATATCACCAGAATAAGTGGTAATACATGTTGAATATTAAGATTAAGTGGGCCAAATCAAGACAAAGTATCAGTGTCATCTGAAAAACAGGTAAGATGCATCTTTTCTCAAATATTATTGTAGATATTGTTATCACTTTGTCAAAAAAAAAAAATTAATAATAATAATAATAATAAATAAATAAATAAATTTATAGTCGATGACATAAATGTAATCCGCCCTATATCATCTAGAATCAAGTCCAGAAATTCACCCCCATACGCAATCATATAGTTTTTCAACAATACTATCCAGTTGTGTATACTAGTCAGAAAAAAACACGTTCTCAATGCCCCGGTTCCGTGTCATTCCAAGGGGAATATTAATGGAGGAATAGGTTATTGTGGGTTCATTCAAGAAGAGTCTTTGAATAATTGTTTTCTTTTTCTATAGATTCAAGAAACCTGTTTCTGCTGCTGAAATGGGAGAGATCCCCCTCGCAATACAACCACAAATAGATCAGTAAGTTGAGTGAGTTCTTCCCATCTTTCATTCAACTTCTTAGTGCCTTCTTTATTTGCAAAGAAAAATGGGTCTTAAAGGTAAATTAACAGCCCAAAAAGAGATGAAGGCTGGTGGAGACGTATTTCATGAACTCTTTAGGTACAAACCACAACAAATACCCAATATCAGCCCTACTACCATTCAAGGCTGCGATTTGCATGAAGGAGGGTGGGGAAATGTAGGTTCTGACTACTTCTGGAAGTACACTATTGGTAAGCCAACGTTGTTTAGTACTCAATATTAGACTATACTCGAAATTGCCCAATACTGTCTAATTCACCCTATTGAACATAGGATAACGTGATTATCTAGCTTTCTTTTGTATAAAGTTTGTAAAATTTGAAATAATTGTAGATGGGAAGCAGGAAGTAGCAAAAGAAGTAATCGAAAGCATAGATGAGGAAAAGAAGTCAATGACATTTAAGGTCGTCGAGGGTGATCAGATGAAGTTGTACAAGGCCTTCAAAGTAGGTTTTCATGTTGAAACTCATGGTGGCATTGATCTGGTGACATGTACACTTGAGTACGAAAAGCTAAATGACGACATTGAAGAACCACTCTTAGTGTTGGGCTTTGTCATTAAACTTGCAAAAGATGTTGAGGCACAACATCTCAAGGCCACTTGATATGGATAGGGTTCTCTGCTTGCATGAGTTATAGAAACTCATATAGACACCTCTGTTTGTGTGTTTTTGTTGTTATTTTATGAATAACAATTGAGGGCTGAAGTTTGTGATAAAATAGTATTGTGTGTTCCTCCTCCATATAGTATGTTGAATTAATCTACTTGTACAAAATATGTTTACAACTTGGCAAGATCTAGACCATTGATTTTCAAAAACTGTTTTTGAAATGATTGATCTAAATGTTGTCAACACATAGTTGGTAAACCAAGTATGTCGACTTAGTTTGTACAAATAGCATGGTTCATAGTATGTATGACATTATAGCTTTTTCTTGAATAATGAAATTTTCTGTCTTGTGACAATTACAATATTACCTATTGGTATTATAGTTTTCAGTCTCTTGAAAATTTGGAATGGAAGAGATACTCAATCCAGTAAGATAGTAATGGATTGAACTTGTAGAGAAACGAATAGGAGACTTTTGCGAACCATTAAGTGAAAAGAGGCGACTTATTTGAACGATCATCTTCCTCATGAAAGCAAGCCGCTTCTAGAAGTTACCTTGCTCCTCTAACATCATTCTCGCTATATGCACACTTGAAAGATGGTATTTGCAATCTAAGGCCAAAAGTTGGTGTCAGTTGCAAGGGCTTATGATGATGATAAAAATGATAGGGTGAGATCGCAAACCACGAGTCCAACACTCAATCAGTCCCCCTGTTTGAGCCTCATTAATTTCTTGTAATGTATTATGGAATAGTAGATTGATGGAAAATATATGGTTAAAAAAGAATGAACTTTTTTTATTTGTATATAATATTATTTTAATGAAGAGTGCGTGATTGAAAATGAGTACTATAGAAAGAATGGGGGAAAAAATGGGACTCAGGGCTAAATGAAATTACATTATTTGGAAAGAATCTTATCCAAATTGGGCTTAATTGAGTCATACGAAAATTAAAACTATACTTTCCTATTCTACAATGTGTGCCTGTTCTAATCAAACCATGACTCCTTTTTATATAAATATGACCATCATCCCTTCATTGAAGGTGCAGGACTATTATTTTACTGATTACATAGTTGTATTACTTCTAATAATGACTTAACCATCGATCAGACTACGTGATCAACACTCTACGCCTTTATTTCATGTAATCAGAGACTTGAGGAAACATTTCATTGATGCCAGAATGTTGAACCTGTCCCAATTCATGATCGATATCAGATGATACAAATTTTTTTACATCAAATAATATTATTAGACAAAATAAAATAAATAAAATATATATAACAATTTTTTAGTGTCATGTCTAGTCTTATGTTCTCCCGAATGCCTAATACTCCTATGAGACTTTAGTTAAAGACTGACTTTTAAATGATGATTTTCTCTCTCTAATTTTATAGATTCTAATTGGGCATGTAACCTATTATAGAAGATTATTTTCTAATTAAATAAAATGTATAATACATTTAGAAACTATGGAAGTTTTCTTAGCACATGGACATGTAAGCTATAATAAAGTATTATCTTTACTTGTATTTTGATTTATACAACCCATTTCTAAAGCATAATTAAATGAAACTCAAACCCGGATTTTGTTTGTTGTATCCATTTTAATTGATATGAATTTCTTCAATATTTTTCATTATTGCACTTATGCCCTTTTTTCATATCATTTTATCCTTGGTATTTTATTAAGGGAAAATTGCAATCAAGGTACTAAACTTTTTGTTTATTAGCAGACTTTATCTAAATCTTTCATTTGTGCCACCGAATGTACCAAATCTTCAAAAAATTCGCACCCAAAGTCCTAATTGACAAAAACCGTTAGTTTGACTACCAAAATCTTCAGTTAACTCCCAAAATAAATAAATAAAATCTTATTATTTCCCTCAAATAAGACAAGGGTATTTTAGATAAAAACATATTTTTCTATTAAATCAAAAATCTAAAAAGAAAAAAGAAAAAAAATGAAATCACAACTCATCACCTTCTTCTTCTTTCCCAAAATAAAAACCCCTCCACCTAACTACCACAATCGCTGCCGGTAGCCAACACCAACATCACCTGATGAATTGGAGTGTTCGCAAGGACAAGAATTATAGCCTCGCCATACCCAGCCTTCTGGAACGGTAAAACCACTTGGTCGAAATCGTTCATCTTGATGATTCCAACGGAGAGATCTGACATGACTCGACACTATCCTTCGAGCATCCATACCCGTTAACGAAGTTCATTTTCATACCCAATAAGGAGTGCCAGGGCCCTGACCTTCTTGCTTCGGCTTCTGATTTTCTCCACCTCCGACAGACATCAGATGGTTTCTGATTTTCTCCGTCTCTGGAAAATATCAGATACTTGGACTTCTAGTATTGATACTACTTGTACGATTTGGGATAATGATAAGGAGGTGGTGGACAATTGATTGCTCATGGTAAGGAGGTTTATGATATTGCCTGGGGAGGTCTTGAGGTTTTTGCTTCAGTTTCTGCTGATGGGTCAATTAGGGTTTTTGATCTCCGGGACAAGGAGCATTCGACGATTATTGGGTAGGCAGTGGTGGCTTTCAGTGGTTCGGTGGAGGGGTTTTGAATTTGGAGAAGATGGAGATGGTGATGGGTTGTGATTTTTTTTTTTGTTTTTTTTTTTT